TTGAAGATTTTCATATTTTCTATTATTTTTAAAAGATTCGTTAATTACGGAATTATTGAAAATAATTGTAACAGTACCATTGCAAGATCCAAGAGGATTATCAGGAGTCGCATGTAAGACTTTAAAGTATTGTTCATGTATCTTTCTCAGGGCAAATGAAGAAATTTTAGTGACCAATCTGATATAGAAAGGGATATTTTGAGCATGAGGAATATGGATTTTATTCTTGGCGACCATTGCTTTGATTTCGTTGTGCTGGTTTTCCAGCAATAGCGAGATTTTTTCATATACCACATGTAAGTTACCCGTCGAAACCTGCAAGTACTTCTTCAACATCGCATGAGCACCTTCTACATGAGATGTTGCTGTGTTGCCCAGATGAAGATAATGATCAACCCATGCGCTAACAAATCATTCTTTTAACAGCAACTATATGTCTTGAATGTAGTTGATGATTAATGGATTTTCGTTGTATCTGGCACATAATTCCGTCCACTGAGTGACAAAGTCTTCTTCCGTTCTTGATTTTACCACTTTTGTCCAATATTGAAAGAATGTCTCCCATTCTTCTCCGGTATGAAAATGACTTTTGCATTTGGCCAAGACATTTTTCTCCACATGCCATGTGCAAAGAATATTCTTTGAATCTGGAAATATATGCTCGAGTGCATGTATAAGTACCAACTCCCGGTCTGTTACAACAACTTTAGGTTTTTCAATTCCATTATATAAACGAGACACTTGAGTAAGTGCCACTTATAATCTTCTTCTTTTTCATCTTTAAGGAATATGAAGCATGCGAAGAACGTCGTATTAAAGCTTGTCATTCCAACGATATTAAGAAGAGGCATTCTGAATTTGTTCGTTTTGTAGGTGCAATCCATAAGCAATATAGAAGAATAGGTGCGTGTTAACTCGATGAATTTATGATGTGAAAAAAAGATATGTGTTACACATCCATCAGTATCACATTGATATTCATACTCAAACTGACCCTCTTCAAGCTCTTTCACAAGTGCTTGAATAGGTATACGGCCTCGCAAGTTTTCTAAATGGATCTTTTTACGAATATTGTAGATATCCCGTGATGTTGTTAAAATTAAAGGGTCATTCTGACGAAGAGAAGACAGTATCTCCTGAGGATGAACTCCAGCCTTTGACATTTCATTTAATCACTCTTGTGTTTGTTCATTCAGTCTTCGGAGGGACGGATGAGCTGATGTATGATCTGATAGTTCATGATTGTGCACTGGATTACGAATAGACAGAGTCCATACGTTATCATCTCCTTTGGTATCACAGACTGAAAAAGGGCAATCTATTAATCTGGAACTTGTATTTTTTTGGCGCGTTTCATCGGTGAGATTTAAACGATTTCTGTATTTTTCCCCTCGGTCACAACCCAAGTATACCTTATGTGATTTTGATCTTGCGATGGATATGCCATAGCCATTAGAAGCACCAAATGTTCGCACATGCTCGATTAGTGAATCACGACTTGAAAATTGATCGATGAGAGGAGCGAGCATAGATATTGTTACCGTAGTAACATAAATTTCTCTAATTCGATAATCTTTCTTTGATTATGCGAAATTCCCTTTTTCTTA